TGATGCATGTCTCGCGTGTTTTGTTTTTAATGTAGCCTCGATTATTCTACTTACCCCTATGTTCAACTGACCCCGGTCTCCCCTATATGGAAATAAAAATCATACGATAATTTAATTGATTCTTACGCGAATATCCTAAAGAGTATCTCCTGCCATTTTTAGCATATCTTTTCATAATTTCATATTCTTCTGGTGTTTCCAATTCATCCCATTCGAGGAATAACCGATCAATCAAAACTTTGATCTAGGATTACTCAATTAATTAATAATTTATATATATTTAAAATGCACTCTACGATGGATTTACAGTTCGAAATATCACACTCTCCGCGTACATTAATATAATAAATTTGATGCACAGAGCGTCATAACATGGTTAACGTACTTTATATCGGTTTAAGTGACATGTGTATAGTTTCACTAATGTTATAATTGTCAACATATGTGCTGCCATAGTTTGAAATATACATTGCATGTCTCCATTACATATGACGAATTTAGCCAACTGGAAATACACGTTTATTTATCTACACTTGATCATGCTCCTATAATCAATTTTATCAAAATTGTAGTTATCAATTACCTGTGGAATAACTATAGAAAATGTGCTTAAAGTCACGAAGCTCAAACAGATTAATTTCGTTTTTGGATTCTGATATGGCCATTGACCAACCAATGATGATACTTTTTTAACAACTCCATAATAATTGGAATCCATAGTATAAAGACAGCTTCGTCTAGTCGACTAACTTGAAAATTTTATTTTATTCAAGTCTTTGTCGCCCTTGGTATAGAAGGTTAATTTAAAATATACGTGCGCGCGCGTGTGTATGTGTATATATGTGTGTATTAAACATGTCATACATCCATATATAATAGTGATGATATATAATGTTATATGCGCCTCCTCTATAACAGCTGCAGTTTTCGTGTAGCTAATCATGGTGTATCTCTACGCAGCAATGAATGACACGTAATTCTTACGTAGGGCATGAGTGGCATTTATTCCTTTGACACTAAATATAATGTAAAGAAAAGCGAAACCTTATGCCGTTTTATAAGTTCCCTTTAGACATGATAAACATATTGATCAGTAGAAAGTTTCATTTTTTTCCTCGGTTTTTTTTCTCTGAAAGTTGAATCTTCTCGTTTAGAGACTCGTAGAAAGTTAAATTCGTGGAAAGTTAAATGTGCAATATACATAATGATACTTGGACATTCGAGCAAATCGACTTAATCGAATTGAAAATATTACATACATATGTGATTAATTACAACTATTCTAATAGGAGAATTTCTCAAAGATTATGATATGTGTTTTTTGCTTTTGATAATGATATGCCACAGCGCAATTAATCTCCGGCTAATAACAGTTATTGAAAGGATGCAAGTACCGTACAGTACGACATTGAAGTTTGTAGAACCTTTAAAATAAAAGTGTAACTTGTCGTTAAAGGAGCTCCAAAGCAATATTTGCTTGTAATAATCCTCAGGTCTTACCATAGTGAAGCTCTCCAAAGAGAAAATATAAATTTTGCCAGCGCTTAAAAAACTCAATCGAAGAGTCTTTATCATTATCAATATAATTAATTTTTGTGATTTTATGGATACTTTGTACCAACAATTATTGTATCTATAAATTTGTATTTCGCATAAAATATAAGAATGGAAAACAAAAATATGTAGATGTAGACATTTTTTTTTTAGAAAGAAAATCTTACATTTTGTCGCGTATCTGAAGACTGTGATCTATTAACTTTTGCCCTTCGAAACTCAGAAAAAATAAATGTATCAGTTCACCAATAACGTATAATGCGTATCTCATTGATTCTAAAATATTGCTACTGTTCTGCTGCATCATCTTCAGCATAAAAAAATGTAGATATAATATTTTAATTTTTTGCATAATGCATACATATACCATTTTATACAAATGAATACATACTTGTAGCAAGGTGATGCTCATCCCTATTGTTACTATCAATATTTGCATAGCGAAAGGTACGTTAAATGTATCTTCAAGAAGTTGTGTGTATCTATGACAAACGAGAGAGATAAGATTTTAACGATTATTCGAATTTTATCGTTTCTGGATATTTGTTTATTTTTAAATGGAAATCCACATTACATGTTACTGTATTATAATGATATTTTATTCGATTTTATACATTTACTTTAAAGCTTTTCGATGTGCATGCACAATGAACGCGATTCTTTTGCGGTATGCATTATCCGTATTAGTATTTATAGTCTTCATTTGGTTATTGCGATTATAAAATAAATGTTCAAGACGAAATCTACAAGCAATTCGTAAGATATTAGCCATTTTATGTGGAATCTGAATAAAATTATAAAAATATTCATATGCCTTGTTTACATTGCGTATTAAATTATTCACTTACCCGATTACAGCAAACATACTACAAACATGTTCAACGTAAGTTACAAATATACAATCATGGGCGACTATTCCGGTCATAGCAATTTCCCAGGCTACGATAGCATGTAAGAAGATGTAGAAAAAGTATTTTCTTTCATCGACAAAGTAATATCCTGGATACGTCAATAGTATAGGGCGGGATTTGTTGAGAGGTAATACAACATCCAACAGTTGCGGTATAAAAGACATTGATAAGAACAGATAAAGAGCTACAAAGCAATACACTACGCAAAAAGAAATGAAATAATTATTTAATAATTGTTAAATTATGCATTTTTAAAACAAAAAGAGCATAGAAAAGAAGTGTGTGAATAGAGATTGCACAATTTATTCTTACATGAGTATCCTAGAGAGTATCGTCTACTATTCTTGGCATATTTCCTCATAATGTTGTATTCTTCTGAAGTTTCCAATGCATTCCAGTTGACGTATAAACGATCAGTGAGATCTTTCATCTAACAATAAGACTTGATTAGTAGTGGGCATCTTTGTAAATTAATATACTATTATAAGATGGAATGCTAAAACTAAAAAGCTATTATATACTTGAAAATATAATTCAAACATTACGAAACGATTAGTATATTAGGCTGTGTTTCTCCAGCTAAATATTTATAGAAAGTTCGATTCGTATTCCCAATGTGCCGAATATTCCAATTCAGTGAAAGAATCGTGACAGAATATATAAATGCCACTGAAATGTTCAGAATATTGTATGAATACTCCTTATATATCATGAAAATCGCAAGCGAGCGAGCAGTACATATCTCCGCCAGAGCACTGCGACGAAAAGCATTTACTCGTTAACAAGAATCATCTGAGAGATAATATAAGGAGCGCAGCATTTCGCCTAAAGTAAGTTTCAAAATTGGGCTTTAAGATGAGTGTCAAGTGTATTTTTCAAAGAAAAATTTTAAAAACTGATTCAGGGATTATCGAAATTTCTGGAAAAATTAAAATTTCGCGAAACATATATATATGGAATATTCTCGGAATATGTAACGATATATAAATGGAATTTTTAATCGATATTTGAATGTTGCTTTTACACTCTGTAAATATTTTGGAATATTCCGGAATTCTCTTAGAATGTTTTTTGGGATTTTAGGAATCTTTTAGAATGTTTTTTTTGGGATTTTAGGAACTTTTTATGAATATTTTAAGAATATTTAGCGTTAGCTGAGTCATACGAGTATTGAAAACTTATAGGTGCTTCCCAAAATTTTCCGAACTTTTTCAATAGGGATAGGTCGGGTGACGCCATCCGTGTGTTCGATTGCGCGTTTGAAAGGTACATTCCTAGCTGACTTCCAGTAAAAATTTCATGACATTTGGTTCAGTGGAAACGAAGTTATGGCGTCTCAAGTGTCAGTATGTTGTATACATCGGTACGAGAATGAACTTCGAACAAAGAGCCAATATTAAGTTTTGTTTTAAACTTGGTAAAACATTTACCGAAACCCATAATTTGATGAAACAAGTTTATGGTGATAATTGTGTAGCCCGTGCCAGTGTTTATGAGTGGTATACGCGATTCAAGAACGGTCGTGAGGACATAAATGACGACGCACATACAGGTCGCCCAAAATCGACAATTAACGAAAATTCCATCGAAGTTGTGCGTAATTTCATCAAGCATGAGCCAAAATCTTCTGTGAGATACATGGAAATGGAATTGAACATCCCCAAATCAACGATTTATCGCATTTTGACCGAACATTTGGGCCTACAAAAAGTCTGTGCACGATTTGTTCCACACAAGTTGACTGACGACCAAAAAATGCATCGAATTCAACATTCAAAGGACATTATTAAGGAAGCAAAAAAGGACCAAAACTTCCTTTATAGCATTGTTACTGGTGACGAGACGTGGTGTTTTCAATACGATCCAGAAACCAAGCGTCAAAGCGCGGAATGGAAGGCGCGAAACGACCCAAAACCCAAAAAATCGCGTTTAGAGAAGTCAAAAGTGAAGACAATGCTCATTTGTTTTTATGATTCCAAGGGTATTGTGCACAAAGAATTCGTTCCAGCAGGCCAAACAGTTAATGCTGTATTCTATGTAAGCGTTTTGAAGCGTTTGGTGCACCGCATTCGTCGTATTCGGCCAGAATATCGCGAAGGAGGAAGTTGGCGCTTGTTACACGATAATGCGCCATCTCACCGTTCGACACTTGTCACTGATTTTTTGACTAAAAATCACATTTTAACAATCAACCATTCCCCGTATTCGCCTGATATGGCACCTTGTGACTTCTACCTATTCGGCAAAATGCATTTGTCCATGAAAGGAAAGCGGTATGTGGACGTAGAAGACATCCAAAGGGCTTGTACCACTATTCTGAAGGACGTGCCTTTGAACGACATAAAACACTCATTTGAAATGCTTTTAGATCGTGCCAAACGTTGTATTGAGTCCGACGGGGACTACTTTGAATAAACAATTTGAATTTGAAAAAAAAAGTAACCGTTGTTGTTTTATTTCAAAAGTTCGGAAAATTTTGGGACGCACCTTGTAGTTCGTATTATGTATACCACAGATTCAATACTGGTAATAACAGAACGTAGCTGTACGATAAACGTGCGGTCCTTGAACAAATCGGTTTTGGTAATTAATTTAGTAATATACGTATTTAGTAATATATTATTATTCTATATTCAATAATAACACACAATGTCATGACAAATTTCTATTTGTGTACTTGGGATTCATCGTTATATTTTTTTGCTGTAAAACAGAATCTGGAAATTCTCGTTCTACACTTTTCGTGATATGACTTTTGACGTTCTAATATTAGTATCTGAAAGCAGCTTCTCATAGAAATGAACACGTTTATATAATTATAACACACGACGGTTGAATTTTATGCCAACTGGATGTAACTCTGCGTTTTAAGAATATTATTAATTTACTGAAGATGGCCAGATAGTGGCCGAAACGTTTAATATTTTAATGTAATAATCATGTTTTGATGTAATAATAATTAAATATCACAAACTACAACTTGTGCTGTGGTTTCTTATGCTCTTCTTTTTATACTTGTTAAATTTATAACCACGTTTGTTTGTACGATTTATATTATTATTCTAATTGAGTATAAAAGTTGACTGTAAATAACACTGTAAAAGTTTTAGTATACATATAAAACACATTATGAAACATTAGGAGCAGCTTGATACTCAGGGCTCCTCGCTCTAATAAAGTGGACTGCAAGGTTCACGAAACGTTGGCGTTCCAAGAATAGATATGGATACGCGAAACGCATAATCTTTATATGATGCAGAATTATTAAGCCCATTCTATTACGATTTAAACATGGAAGATTGACATTTCCTTATTTTAAATAGGTCATAATTATGTTTATATGTTTATTTCCAATTTATATTTATTTTTAATTTAATTATTGGATGTTTTCTTTATTCCTTTGTATTATTTATCGCAATTAAACTTTCTCGATTGCAACGATATCTATCTCCACATCCAATATTATAACAGACCATCGTTAAACATATTGATATGTAAATTTTTAATAATTATGACTGAACTAATTTATTTCAATTTATTAACTCTTTTATGAATCTTTTTTTTAGTGTAACTTTTTGAACATGTTTTGCTTGTATATTTTGTGAACTGTAACAAACGACATTTGAAGATTTCAATTAGTAACAATAGATTCAACGATGTCTGATGAGGGTTTTATTTATATCATGTTTGAATGATATCATGGATTGACTCTAAATTTTATATTATACACTGAAGATGACCCAATATGAGGGTTGAAACGTTACACATCTTTAATATTGTATTCGATTACACACGAAAGACTGGTATCGGCTTACATTGGTATTTCCTCCTATATCTACGTATTTATTCTTTAATTTGTATATTTGGAGAGCTTTATTTATATTTTAATTTTTTGTTAATTTATTATTCAATTATTGTATTTATATTTTTTTACGGGTTATTTAAGAGCTACTGCAACGCTATTCCATTATACTCGTGACATGAAGCAATAGGAGTGTTGTTATTTACATAAAAAAATCGTGAAACGTTTGCTATTTTTCAATGTATTTCATAGCAGAATTATTCTCTAAATCTCGTGGAGTGAAATCTCACTCGAAGAGATAAGAAAAAAGAGTAAAGATACGGTCATTCTTGTTTAAGAGTTTAATTTCACTCTTTTTTCAAGACTCTTTTTTCAACTTTTTTAAATTTTAAGTCTCTTCGAAATTTCACTCTACGAAATTTAGAGAGTACAGAAAATATAAATTCAATAACCTAAATCATTTGTCAATTAGTCTATTAATAAAATTTTTTAAAATTACAATTTTTTCTTTTTCATATGTAATTTTTAAATTTTTTGCATTTTTATAATGTTTTAAATAAGGAATAATATGGTATGAATAATATGGTTTAGGCAACGAATTTCCTTATTGAAAGAATTTTTATTTCAATACTAGAACCGCCGACGACGCCAATTTGGCTCCGCTGATATTAAAAATTGTTAAATCATTCAAAAATATAACTGTTATTAATTTCCGTATTTGTTAACAGTTTTCTTAATATCAATGTTATTGGAAATTATTCCTCTTATTTTCATTTTTGCACTAAAAATTCATTTTTTAATAACAAATTTTTTACGTAAAAATAAAAATAAGAGGTATAATCTTCATTGGCTTTGATCTTGACAAATGTTATCTAGGACGTGATCTCGAACAACATTCAAGAGGTTTTAACTGTTCGTCGGATACCTTACGTAATGCTAATGCCGACGGTATTGTAACTTTCAAGCATTGAAACTTGAAAAGGACGTGAAGAGAAATAACTTTATTATAGTGTTTTGAAAAGCTTTTAACATCAACTGTTAGATTATTTCATAAAAAATAGTGTTTCATTAAAAAAAAATCATTTGTGACTTTGACCTAATCTTGACGACGCCACCCAAGGTCAAATCGATGATATCTTCTTATATCCTTCTCCGAACCATAAACTTCTGAACTTTTGTTTGTTTTTCCATATCTTCCATATTTGTTCAGATATTTGCCTGGTTCGATTAAAATGACTCACTCTATATATAACCCCAAATAATGCAAATAACGCTTTATTAATCGGAAAAAAGCATAATAACCAAATTGGCGCGTTTAGCAGTTCTAGGAAGATATCGAATTCCAGCGGTTCTAGTGTTAAACGTCATAATAGCGAAAAAAAATTACATATGAAAAAGAAAAGAGTGTATTGTGCTGTAAAAAACTTAAGAATATTCTTCGTAATTTCAGAGTTATGAATCTTTAAGGGGATGCTAGAGCGAAGACTGAAGTTAATCAAGGTCGATATTACAGGTTTTTATTTCCAATGTATAAGATGCTTACGCCCTCTGAGTTAATATGATCATGCAGGAAATTCGATCGATTAATTATCGATATTTTTATTCCGTTTCCTACATTACTATCTTAG